AAATGTGTTAATTAGAGAGGTACAGTTTAAATGGTTGTTCCTGCGACCCTTAAGGCAAAATGAGTGAAAAAAAGGAAATTGGGGTGAGAGAGGCTCGAACTCTCGACCTCAGGATTTCTCTTTAAGCTATGAGACCTACGCGCTAGCCAACTGCGCCACCACCCCTTTTGATGAAGGAGGTCTGTATACCCACTCCCTAATCGAATTGTTTGGGACGAATAACTGACTGATTTCTTTTCTCTCAGTTATCCTTCTGTTGCTGTCATATAAGTGTCTTTTCAGCTAGTTGAGTTTTCTCCTGTAGGATGTGAGTGAGTAAGTCAAATTCTTTTATTCTTTGTTACTTATTTGAATTCAACATTTTGTTCGATTGTGTCATAACTCTATAAGGGATTATGTCAACTTTTCCACTATCTCCCCCAGAAAACCAAACTCTGTCTTACGGGCTTGTCGTTTGTTTTTTCAAATTAGATCAACTCTCATACGAGCTCCGGCGGTTCGTTCTTCTGGCCGTAAAGCGGATAAAGTACATACATCGTTCGGGGATTGGCTACAAACGAATTCTATAGGCATTATTGATACAGAATATTTATATTATCGCGAAATAAATTCGCTTTTAGTTATCAAACTAATTTGCTTGTGTTGTACATTGTTTTCTCCAATGGATAACTGTTGGTACCAATCCGTTAATTTACTATGCTGATGCTATTTGAGATGATCAAAGGAAAGTCCAGAAATTCACATTAAGTCCTAATTGGATATTTCAATTCTGACATTCATATAATTATATTTGATGCTTCCTCAAGATTTTTCTGTAGTACTGTATCTTTTGTCAATATATTTTGTTAGTTTACTTCTTGATCATGTGTGTTGTATTGTCAATTTATTTTGCCATCACACAATTAATGTCTAGTTACAAATCTATCATTATATAAAAAGAATAACCATTTTTTAAAAATGGTAAGTCAAATTCTTAGTCAACATGTTTTGCATTAATTACTTGCCATTAATGGTAATAAATATTTTTTTTAAAGTTTCCTTGTGCAATTAATGCTTTCCAAGATTTTTGGGATGTTGTTATTTTGTAATTGACCAATGCACTGATTTTGCGTTAGAAAATCTTATATTGAAAAATCTTATCCTATTAAATCTCTTTAATATAACACTTATTTTATATTAAGAAATATTAATACCACGAATTTTGATTTTCAATCCTTCACAAATTAAAGAATCTTATAAATTAAATGTCAACACTTAAAAAAATCGGCCTCTCCAAAACTCTATCCGGATTTTATTTAAAATCACCAATACCTTGCTCAATCAAATCTCCAAAATATAAGTCTGAGTTATTGTCTAAAAATTTTTTTTAGGGTATCTACTATATAAAAAAGCAATTCTCCAAAATATAAGTCCTCTAATAAATTTTTTTTAGGATATCTACTATATAAAAAAAATAGCGTATGTTGTATTGTCTAATTATTTTTTTATGGTATTTGTAATTACTAATATTTTTGCTTAAAATTATTAATGTTTGTTAGACCAACAGTTTTTTAGACTATAATATATAACAGTGGATATAACTCTAAATATATTTTTATATATAATATTATATATAATTTAAACATGTTGTTTGAGTAATTTTTTTTACACATTCGTTAAAGTGTATATATATAGAGAGAGAAATGTTAACTTTAAGTGATTTTAGATACTTCTTTTATAAAATAATTTAGAAAAAAATGAGATACTTTCATATTTTTCAAGAATAATATATAATATTTTAGATACTTTTACACACTTTATATAATAGTTTAGGTATTCTTAATGTTTTAAAAATATTTAGAAATTTTTTTACATATTCTCTAGATTAAGAAATTGTTTTCCTTACAAAATAGTTTAAAAAAATTTTAGGTGACTTCACACATATTTTAAAAATAATGTAAAATATTTTGAATACTTTTTAGATATGTGATATAAGATTTTGTATTACATAAAAAGAGAATAAGAGTTATAAAGCATGGTAATTTTAGATATAAAATTCTATTTTATTTGTTATAACTTACATGGAAGTTATTTTTAATTATCGATTGCTTTGCTTTTTTTTTTTTACTTCGTTTCGCGAGACAATATCTCTTATTAGACTCATAATATTTTATATAATTTTAAACATATTGTTTAGACAATTTTGTACACATTATACATGTCCACATACACATATACATATATATATGTTAAATATAAATAGTTTTAGGCATGTTTTTTTACAAAATAGTTTAAAAAAATTTTAGATGACTCCACATCTTTCAATAATGATATTTAAAATTTTAGATACTTTTAGATATGTTATATAATATTTTGGACGTTTTTAATACTTTAAACAATCATTTTTTTCAAATTCTTTTATACAAGATAATTATATATTGTTTACAACTCATATACGATAAATTATATTACATATGAAGTTCACATCTTTAATTTATAATTATTAATTAATATTATTTAACTTCATCTTTAATATATAATCATTAACTAATATTGTTTATCCGTGCATCGCACGGGATACGCACTAGTTGAACCAAATACACAAGTGTGTACCACCTTCAATATGCAAGAAACGTTCACGCGGGATGGGACGCAAACAATACAACACAATTCCAAATTTCCTTATACACAAGTATAAAAAAAACTATATTCAAAGTTTACACCATTCATTTCTGAAAATACGTTTTACATAAATTTTTTTTTTGATAAATTTAAATTTATAAACGTATTTCGTAAATACGTTTTACATAAAAACACGTATATCGTAAATACGTTTTATAAAACCCTAAAATCAATTTTAGGGTTGATTTTAGGGTTTTATAAAACGTATTTACATAATCCGTTTTATAATTACTATATTTAATTCAATTCCACTTTTAAACGAAAAATTAATTTTTTTTATTTTACAAAAAATATTTATAAAATGTACTAGTACGTAACCCGTGCGATGCACGGGATGTAAAATTTGGAAGAATAATATAACCACACGTGTATTAGGATCGAAATTGAAATCATTAAAATACATAGGAACATTGTTGAATCATAAAAAGTTCAGTAACAATCATATATTATTAAAAACCTCCTTGTACACAACATTATGAGTTTGATTATTTGGTAACTCCTCATTATCACAAATTAATATTTTCAAAAGAGACAAATCCTAAAAATCAAACTAATATTTGTGGTGAACAAACTAATATTTTAGGATTGGTGAACAAACTAATATTTTAGGATTTCTAGGATTTGTCTCTTTTTTGTGAACAAACTAATATTTTAGGATTGGTTATATGAATAAGGCTACCTGTTTTTGGTGTTCTTTTCATTCATTTTCATTCAAACAATCCGATGACTTGTATAATGAAATCCGAATCTTAAGTCGAAATATTTAAAAAAAGTGTTTTTAAAAATTGAAAAATCAAGGCAATCAGTTCAGATTAATTAAAGGTTAAAGAATATCCGCTCCTTGAAATAAAGACGTGTGCTATCATTAACCAAATATCCGGTTATTGATATAGAGTGGTTACCAAAAAATAGAATATAAGGACGCTTCATGGAAATATCAATGGGATAAGGTCATAACAGATCGCTATACATTTTAACGATAAAAGCTCAGATGGAATGATTTGTGATAATTATGTCGTAATTAATGAATTAATTAGATGTGTGAAAATGACAAGGTCATAACAGATCGCTATACATTTTAACGATAAAAGTTCAGATGGAATGATTTGTGATAATTATGTCGTAATTAATGAATTAATTAGATGTGTGAAAATGACATAATTAATGAGAAGTGTGAAAAGGACAAAAACTTACCAGTTTTGGAAAATATTTAATGCAAATCCGACATTGACCATAATTTGACCTACTATTTTGGATAAATGTTAATTCTTATTATATAAGTATAGATTACCGGTCCAAGAATACGTGGTTTTGATTTTTTTTTATTTTTTTTTTTTTGTCCACTTCTTTTTTTAAATAAATAAATCACCCTATAAAATAATCTTTTTACATTCCTAATGTTACAAGATAAACTTTATAAACATTAGTCAAACACATTGAATTCATCAAACTCATTAATTTATTTCAATAGTTGAAAAATGAATTTTGAGAATTTATTGAATACTTGTGTAACGTAACTGAAATTGTTTTATCAACAAACTCACAGATTGGACTAAAATTAATTTAAGGTGAATGGATTGAACTGTGCAAATAATTTGTTTTTTTTTCAGACGTCAATTATATTAATAACTAAAACCTCAAAAGAATATAACTGAAGTGTCAAAGTGACACTAAAATGAAGACGGGACCAATTCTCTTTGTCAACACATACAAGGGGGTACAAACTCCATCAAGGGGTGAACAACCACAAAACAAAACTCCATGAGAGAAAAGTGGACTATATATGAGAGAAAAGCAAACAAAACTGCAATAAAAGCAGATACAACTGCACTAAACGAAACAAAACAACAAAATAAAAATCAAAAGCAACACACACCTAATAAACAACAAAATAAGAGTAAAACCTCCCCTAAACCTACCGGCTGAAATCCAAAGCCACTTGAACCGTCTACCAAGTCACACTCCAACAAAGAAAACCAACTGAGTGTCAAACCCGAAAACTACAGTCACTCTACCGCTCAGACAATCTGAGCCCCGAAGAACCGTCGGGGAAAAGAAGGAGAGCCATCACGAACCCGCCGGAGGACTAGAAGGGATAGATCGAGGAGACAACAGCCTGCAATCAAGTCGCCTGGCCCAAAGGACCTGCAGCCCGGTTGAACAGGAGCGCACGGGACCGCGAGATGGGCTTGCCCAAGCCAACGTCAATCTCCAGGAAGAACATGGCCGCACAGATCGAGCCTCGACCGACGAACTCCCGCGGCTGGGCCTTGCAAGAGTAGCCGACGACCTCGTTGGAGGCGAGGGATAAACCGAGGAGCGAAAATCACCGCTGGCCAACCACCGGCAGTACTCCTAGAAGCGGAAAGGAAGCACCCAGCCGCGACTTGGCCGGAACGGCCCGGTGACCATAGGAGTCGCTCCGCCGAAAAAGGGGCTGCGTTGGGGATAGGGGTTTCTCTTTTTTTTTTTTCGGCGGAGAAAGAGGGGAAATTAAGGATTTTCGCTAAACTTAAAACTGTGCAGATAAATTTAAACGCATAATTGTTGTTGTCTGTGATTGATAATTTGAATTTTGAATAGGATAATATTAAACTCAAGACACTATTTGCCCTTATCTTTGATAAGTTTAGGATTAAAATGTATTAAATCTTCTTTTACCCTTATCTCCACATTTGTAATTTATTTTTTCTCCTCGTTCATTATACAAAGCCAAATTGAATTAAAAATCATCTGCAACACTAGAGAAAAAAAACGAGTGTAATTTAATTTAATATTTTCCTCTCTTTAATTCATCAATCTGCCCTAACCAGATTGAATAAAAATAAAATCATCCGGAACACCAAAATAAATAAATAAATAAATAAACAAATAAAAATATGAGAGAAAACTTTCAGAAATTCTATGGTGTCCATATGGGCATCATAAGCCATGCCGCAATATGATATGGCATGTGATGTGTTTTTAATAATTATATTCATTAATTCCAACATGGCATGATGTTCCATAAAAATTAAACAATATTGTGAAAGAAATAAATAAAAAATCTCCAACAGAATAAAAAATCTTCACGCTCCGCGCCTACTCCACAAGACAGACAGCTTGGGCCAAGAGAAACTCTACTTTCGCGGCTTTCGTTTAGGTCACAAACAACCAGCGGCAGTCTCTACTCACTCCACTTGGCTACGATCTACTTCCCCTATACCGACCACCAGGGAAAGATATAAAATTTTGGGGGAACGACAATTGATTTTTTAGAAACAGTTTATAAATTGATTTTGGTATAAATTTTTATAAAAAAAAAAACCACCTAATATCTGTCATGGAATTAATGAATCTAATTACTAAAGACACATCACATGCCACAACATATTGTGGTATGGCTTATGGTATGGGCACCATAGAATTTCTGTTGTTTTCGGCAAAAAATAAATAAATAGAGCATGTTTGTTTATGAAAATTTATTATCCACTTCCTAAAAAAAATTGTTAAATTCCAACATAAAATCCTATGGTATATATTCCAATGGAATAAGAGCATGTTTGTTTATGAAAATTTATTATCCACTTCCTAAAAAGAAATTGTTATATTCCAACAGAAAATCCTATGGTATATATTCCAATGGAAATTTCAACGGATATCCAATGGTATAGCTTCTGTTGGAATGAGTTCAACAGAAATTTCAATGAAAATATTCCGTTAGAATGTATTTTCATTAGAATTTTAGATGGAATTTGATAAATCCAACGACTATATTTCCAACGGCTTTTGATCGTAGGAATTTTCATTGGAATACGCAATTTCTGTTGGAATTTTTATTTCCACCACCGTTAGAAAATCTACCGTTGAAATCGTCAGAATCCAACAGAAATTCCAATGGAAAACTCATTCCAATGGAATATTTTTGTTAGAATTTTCGTTGGAATAATTCCAACGGAAATAATAGCATTGAAATATCCATCAAAATTGCAACATATACGGGTAATTATTGAGTTGTCCATATTACATGTAGACCCAATTTAATTTTATTTTTTTTATTGAAAAACTGCTAAATGATATTAATTTATTCGTGCGTCGTACCTTTACGTTTAACATTCACATATTATGGTTTTGATCAATCTATACAATTTTTTAGCCTTCAGTGGCCTTGTTTGGTAGATAGCGATTAGCTGTTAACTGATTGTGACAGCTGTTTTGACTAGCGGATTGTATCAGCTGTTTTGACCAGTGAATTGTAATAGCGGTTTTTAAAAATATGTTTGTTAAAAGTAGCTTATTGATTGGTAAAAATATTATTATTGACTTGATTTTTTTTATATAAATAAATATTTTTTATATTCCTTTGTTTGTTTTATACTCACAAAAATTATTTTTTGATATAATAAGTATTTTTTAAATTATTTTTTTATATTTTTTTATAATAAAACTAATAAGTGAAATCAAATTATAAGTTAAACTTAGCAGTAAATTATTTTTATATTTTTTATAGTAAAAGTAATAAGTGAAATAAAAGTATAAATCAAACTTAAGAATAAATGGTTTCAAAATACTAAAATAATATTTGAAAAAAAAATAAATGACACAAATAATACTCTTGTTGTTATCTTCCAAGTAAAAATATAAATATTTGCCACACTTAAAAAATGATGGTCTAAACTATCATCCCCTACCCCACTAAAAATAAGTAAATAACCATAGAACAAGAGTCCATCAAAATTGAAAGAGTGAATTGTTAAGGGGATAACTAAATGCAAGTATTAAAATTGCAGCAGCCGCGCTCCTCCGTGCAGCATTTTGAAAAACAGCGTTTCAAGTAAAACAGCTGATATAAAAAAGCTGAAAACCAAACAACATTATTTAGAGGGTCAACAAGTCAAAACAGCTAACTTGGTCAAACAGCCAAAAAAAGCTTGAAAAGCCAATAAACAAACGAGGCCATTACATAATAAAATCCTAGTACATATTTTTTAAGTGAAAATTAAAAAAGAAAAATAAGATATGTTTTACCAAAGATTTTCTCAAAACTCTACAATATTTATTAATCTATTATCTAACAAATTTAACAAATGCAAACAATCCCCAACCCTTTTGAAATGCATTAACATTTGAAATTAATTTAAATTTAATATTGTTACGAGGCAATTAAAAATTTGAATTATAAAATCTCACTAAAATATTTTCTACATTAATTTGATAAAATTGATAAAGTAAATGACATCATTAAAATTTAAGGAAATTACAAATGGATAAAGAATGAGAAATTTAAATTAGGGAATACTTTTTAAATACTGAGAACATAGTTTTTTTCTTCACCTACTGAGAACATAGTTGATGGTTCACATAATACGCAATATACATGCAACAAATAGGAGAAACTTGTGCATACTGCTTAAAAGTGAGTGGTTCAAACAGAAATATCACACTGAAAAAACGATATAACTGTAATAATAACTTAAAACACAAAGCAATGACTTACAGAACAGTTTCATTCCATTAAACATAAATCATGCAGAGAGCGGAAGGAAAAGCATTCAAAGATATCAAAAGTACGAAGAGTCCAGAGCTAAAAGAATCAAGGATCAGAAGTAAGGGCTGTATCTCATTGGCATCCTGAACCTTGGGACCTTCCTGCAATTTGATGCAAAATAGGCGCTCATCACTTTACTCAGAAGACGATACACTATGGTGAGCTTAAAAAAGTGATACTAATAAATTTTTGGGGGTAAACACAAGCACTTAGGGGTGAGGTGTTGAATTACCAGGTTCACCAAGGGAGAAAAAAAGGGTGATGTACTTACTGCTTCTAGAAGGAAAAAACGATTTTCAGCTTCTAGGTGGTAAAATTATTCTCAACTTTCAAGAGGAAACTGAGCATTTATCCACATTGAGTTGAAAATCATATTATTTTCATTTTTTTTTTTTAAGTGCTTGCAAACATCCCCTTTTAGTCCTTGTGGCATCACACAAAAAGTATTTAAAAAAAAAAATCAAAAGAAAAGGATTGTTACCCATAACCATAAGGGGAAATAAGGAATGGAGCAGCCATGTATGGGGGCCGGGGCCTACTGCCCAAGTAAGGATTAGAACGCCTAGGACGAAATTGCTTCATGCCAGGAATATTGGTCCTCTTGGCTGATACCTGGAAAACAAAATGTCAACAGAAGTTGTTCAACAAATAAGAAAATACACACAAACCCACGAAAATGGTTCGAAAAATTGAAGAGGCCACTCGACTGATTGGTTGAATGACACTCGACCTTCAATTGCCGACCGTGAAGTTCAGATTCATTCAGAAGAAGAGCCTGCTCAACAGCTTCTGTTTCTAGAAACTCAACGTATGCATATCCCTTAGGCTGTCCAAACTTGTCGGTCCTTATAGTTACTCTGTTCACGGTCCCACATGACTGGAAATGTTGCTGGACTTCCTCTGGTGTACATGCATAATCCACCTATGTGAAAACATAACATCCGAGACAACACCAAACTCCATCAGAAGGCATCATACTTACCGCACTATCTTTTAATACGATGAAAAACTCATCAGTGAATTAAAAATAAATGAATAGATAAATAAGTAAAAATAGAAGAACATAAAAGAATCTCACATTGCCGACAAAAACTGATCGGGAATCCACTTCTTCCCTATTTGCTGGATTAGATGCAGAAGCAGGATCTCCTGTAAAAGAATTATACGTACTTAAGAAAAATGGGTACGGAACGTGATTGTTATCGTCACTGACAGTAATATATAATAGGTGTCAATTGCACATAGTGGTTGTTTTTCATAATGAACAAAAAGACATTTAACACCACTATTTCCAAGCACAATCACTTTCTACATTCAAGACACAAGCAGCAATCGTGGGTATTATAGCTGCCTGGAGCAAATGAAATCCTAACATTTCAAGAAATAACTTAATAACGTTTCAACTCAGGATCATAACCTTCTAAAAATATAGGAATCATTCTAAAGCATTTTTAAGCTCGCAGAAAGGTGTATGTGCCTGCCAATAAGCACCCACTTAACAGGAATACATTCTCAAAGTGAAGAGTATTCGATCCAAATATCAAGTTAATATGGAAGAAGTGTTTTATCCAGACTACAAATACGTAGTTCTGTCAACTATTCTTCGTTGAAATCAAACCTACTACAAACATGAATGTTACCTTTCAAACAAGCAGATTTTTCCCCCATACACTGACAAATATCTCATCGCATAACAAATTTGTTGGAAGTGTAATCTGTCATAATATATTGTACATATATAGAACAGAAGTGTTACAAAAGGATAATTATAGTCCTTAAGTATGGGGTTTTATATCCTAATTAATCACCTTATAGGGCCTTTGTATCATTATTATCTTAATGAATACAATCGATCCGTTCAGATAACACTGTATCAGAGCCAGCTCTCCTCCAATACATTTTTTATGCCCGAAAACTAGGGCTCAAAGGTTTGATTCAAATACAACTACTTCCAGACTTTGGTCAGTCTCACCTCCCTCAACATTAGATTTTGGATATCTAGATCGGCCTCCTTGCAGAGTACCGTTGCCTCTAATCGCGCGTGCAATTCACGTGCCCCTTTTGCAGTCTGTGCCGCTCTCTGGTGCGTGAAACCGGCTGCTCACCGTCTGGTTTGACTGGTGATATCTACACACATTTTCCCACTTCCACTTTGTTTTGACAACTTTCTGAACTCCCCTAATGAAGTTATTTTCCCATAATTCATAGTCTCGTGTATTGGGGCCATCTTATTGTTCCGGTTCTGACTATGGTTCGATTATTACACGATTGAAAAATTAGATTGTCATGTTCTTAGATCAGGTTTTATTGGCTAATGGTATAGTGTCATATGGCCTTGCTAAGTGCAATGCTGAAATTATTCAGGTTAGGAACAAGATCACTGACACAAAAATTAATGAACAGATATCCCTTCGAACTTTACTATCTGGTTATCGAGAATAAAGATAGTGGTGAACCATTTCATCATACTGAGAGCTATCTTAGACTTGTCAAAAAACTGAATTGTCTTACCTTACAGTTATGCACCCAACCATTGCTTTGCTATTGATGTTGCAAGCCGATTCATGCCATCCCACATATTAAATCATTGGGCTCTCCTCGAGAATATTCTTTGCTATCTTAAGGGGGGCCCTAGTGTGGACTGTTTTATGGTTCCTACAGAGTGGAATGTCTTCCCAATGCGAACTATGCGAATTGCAGGGAAAATCAAAGATCAACCTAAGGATACTACTTTGTTGTTGGCGGAAATATAGTCACTTGGAGGAGTGAAAAATAGACCGTATATTTTCAGTCACTCGCTGAAACAGAATATAGATCCATGGTTGATTCAATTTTAGAGGTTGTGTGCATACATCAGTTATTGAAAGAAATTGGGTATGAGCTCTCTCTCTCAGATGGTTCCGTCTAATAATCAACCTGCTCTTCCAATCCAGTATTTCATGAATGGACTAAACACATTGAACTGGGGTGCCACCACTTAATTCAAGACAAAATTGAAGGACTTATTTCTACAGAATATGTGAAATCAGTAGACCAACTAGGAGAAAACCTCATGATGGCTACAAACTAAGTACGAATTGGTAACATTCGTAGCAAGTTAGTCACAATCAAGGTATGCACTCAACTTGAGGAGTGTTAGAATATATTGTACATGTATAGGAAAGTGGTAATAATACAGGATAATATTTTACATATATAGAATAGGTTAGTAGAGGTAATAGGAAATGATAATTATACTTCACAATTATGGACTAGATGATATCCTAATTAGTCTCGTTTAATGAAAGGAGTAACAATGGGGTAAAGGTTAAAATTGGGGAACACGAATTGAACACATCTAAAGTTTTAAATATTTAGGATCCATAGAATGATAATGGCAACATAGATAAGAATGTAACGCATAAAATTCTACCGGGTTGGAACAAGTGGAGGAGCGCGTCGTCTATACTTTGTGATTGTAAAGTACCATATCGAGCGGCCATTCAACCGACAATGCTTTATAGATCCGAGTGTTGGGAAACTAAATATGAAAATGATAAAAATGCGAGTGGCAGAGATGAGAATGTTGAGATGGATGTTAGGGCATAGTAGGTTAGATAAGATTATAAATAAAGTTGGGGTAGCGCCCACAGAGGAGAAAATGAGAAAATCACGATTAAGATGGTTTGGACATGCGCGTGGGAGAAACTTCGAGGCACCAGTGAGAAGGGTAGAAACATTAGAATTAAGAAAAAACGCAAATTAATAGGGGGAGGAGTAGACCGAAGAAAACTTGAAATGAGAAAATAAAAAATGATTTAAAATATTTAAACTTGAATGAGGATATGTGCTTTGATCGAACACGATGGCAACATACCATCCATATAGCCGACCCCACTTAGTGGGATTTTAACGGCTTGTTGATTGATTGATTGATTATATAACTAGGGCCTTTCTATTGTTATTTACTTAATAATTTAACTGATCCCTTCAAATAGTAAAGACCATAAAAAATCACAGCTAACATAAGCTTTAGCACAAGCTTCATCTTGATTGTAGAATTAGGGTTCAACATACAAAGCTGCAACCTCAGGATCTAAAAATGTACGGAGTCTCAATGGCTTAAACACCTTCTAAACTATAACCATCATAAAACATGTTCAGCTGTCAAGTACTGAACAAAAAAGCCTTTTCTCCAGCGGGAGCATTAGAAGCCCCGTTATTTATCAAAGTTCATTAGAAACTCATGTTGACTTGTTTAATTTCCGCATCAGCAAAAAGTGCAATTTGTACAATCGGCTAAGAAACTCTTGAAGTTTAATCCAAGTTCATAACAAACAATTGAAAACCAAATCTTTAAGTTTAATCCAAGTTCATAACAAACAATTGAAAACCAAATCTTTCAGAATCAATTCTCAAGAAACAAAATAATTTTTATTCATATATTTCTGACGAATGCGCCATTTAAACTACCAGAACCTGCATTTAAACCTGCACTTTGCAAAATTCACAACCAAATTTCATTCACAAATTCTGAAACCCAGGCACTACAGCTACACATGTTTTCTGTGCGTAAAAATTAAATCTATAGAGGAGAAAAGAGGAACCTTGAACAGAGCCCATCTCCTGCTCAACTTTCGCCTGCATTTCTCGGAGGGCGGCGGCTTCGTCCTCCATCTCCTTAAGCCTCTTCTTCATGTCATCCAGCTCCTGAGTACACACGCACGTCAGTACACGAAAATCCGCAAAAGCTAGGGTTTGTCGTGATGAGTTAAACCAAAAAAAGGTTGAAAGGAAATCAGATCAAATCAAACAAATTGAAAATTTAGAGAGACTGAGAGAGAGTTTGTATCACAACGGCAGCTCCGCCGTAGGCTCCCACCTCCGCTGCCGCCATCTCCACGTCGCCCTCCATCGATCTCACCCTTTTTTGGGCGATCCTTAACGGAGGAAAAATAATTGGGGATTGGAGAAATAGTAATGATAAGTGAGTGACACTTTTGGCCCTCTACCCTTTTACTATCAATTTAAAAAATCAGTAGGTTGTATTTTTTGTTTTAAAAAAAAAGGGGAAAGTCCACTTTTGGTCCTCCATGTTTAGAGGTATCTAGACTGAGTCCTTATTATGTTTTGGTGCCCAATTTTAGTCCTTAAAACAAAAAAATGTAGTCCTATAATAGGAAAAAATCCGCTTTTAGTCCTCCATGTTTAGGGGTATCCAGACTTAATCCCTATCATGTTTGGATGCCCAATTTTAGTCCTTAAAACAAAAAAATGTAGTCCATTTACCTCAATTTATGTGAATTAACGGTCCATTTTTGCTCGACCGTTATGTTCTTCATTTTTTAAAAATTTGTTGACTAATGTGAACTTTGACCAAAGAAAAATAAAAGAAAATTTAAATGCTGAAAAAAGGTAAAATAAAAGGCAGAAATGGTGAACTGCAGTGAAACGTAGAAAAAAAAAACCTGACCGCCTAGAGACTAAATCCGATCAAATGGATGAAAATGGTGTGGTATTTTGTAGATGTGAGCTGGTTGCAAAGTTGACTACATGCTGGAAGGATGATAATCCCGAGAGAAGATTCTTGAGTTGCCCTCTATATCCTGTAAGTACTTTCTGTGAACTTCAATTGGAATATGATAAGAAATGGTTAAAAAACAGAGGGTTGATAGGTGCAATTTTTTTCGATGGCATGACCCGGAAATGGGTGCAAGAGCAGTAGTTGTGATTCCAGGCTTGCTCCGCAGCGCGAATGCTAGGGAAATAGAAATCAGACGAGCAAAAATTTTAATTTAATTTGGTGCAATTTCTTGTTTTAGTTTAATTTTTGATTAATATATTTTCAGCATTTAAATTTTTTTTTATTTTTCTTTGGTCAAAGTTGACATTAATCAACAAATTTAAAAAAAATAAAGAACATCACAGTCGAGCAAAAATGGACCGTTAATTCACAGAAATTGAGGTAAATGGACTACATTTTTTTGTTTTATGGACTAAAATTGGGCATCAAAACATAATAGGGATTAAGTCTGGATACCCCTAAACATGGAGGACTAAAAGTGGAATTTTCCCTATTATAGGGACTACATTTTTTTGTTTTAAGGACTAAAATTGGGCACCAAAACATAATAGGAACTCAGTCTGAATACCCCTAAACATGGAGGACCAAAAGTGGACTTTACCCTAAAAAAAATTGTTAGTGCGTTTCATTATTTTTTAAACATATAATGTAAAAAATAAAATAAAATGGAAAGAGAACAATTAAAGTTGTAAAAAAATATAGAAAAATAATTAAAATCGTAAAAAGAAAGTAAATAATTATTTAAAAAGAATATATTTAATGTTTGATTTAAAGATATTTGACAGAGAATAAAATTAGGCAAAGTATTATTTGTTAATTCTTCCTTTTTTTTTTCTACAATGATAGTTATTTATATTAATGTTTGATTTAAAGATATCTTTTTTTTTCTACAATTGATTGTTATGGCAAATTAATTGTGGGGATCTTCTAATTATAAGACCATAAATTTCCAACAGAAACAAAAAATATGGAAGTTTAATTTCATGCATTTTTTTAGATTTAAAAATATATTCATACTGAAGTACACACAGTCATACATACATCTAGTTACACTATATCTATACAAGTAAATTTATATCCAATATGGATTGGAGATTTCATGCAATATGCATTACACGTTGCAAATAATCAAAATTCATCCTTTTTTTTTATTATTATTATTATTCTGGGTATAAATAGATTGATTTACTCCAAAAAAAAACTGATCACTAATGCAAATACATTTTAGCCTAAACTAACAGATACCAAATGAAGTATCATTACAGAAAGCTCTTGAGCATAATCTGGCCTTTTGAATCAGTTTCATCCAAGTACACACAGATGCTAGCACATAAACCCGAAACTAGTCAGCCGATTTTCCCCGAATCTTGATCGCGACAAAGAAAACGAACCTATAAACGAGCACCATCCCGAACAAGACACCTAAATCGACCCACTTGGAATACCCCATCTCCACTTGCCACACGTCCCTCAAAACCGTTTCCCCATCAACGGCTGACGAGGGCGCACCAAAATACACAGTGCCCTTCAAGTTCATTCTTGTACAATCCTTGGTAAGCATACCTATGAAATGCTACATAGTACATTGGGTATTTCCAAAAATCTTGGGAAGTTCTTTAGGAAATTCGGCATGAAACACGCGACAATCATCATCAAGCTCTCGACCAGCATCATGCACGTAAATAGTACTAAAGTGAAGTACACAAATTCGAATTTGCCCAGTTTTGAAAGATTAGAAGAAGAAACGGTGTCGAGGATATTGTGTTGCTAACGACGAATGCTGAAGGCCCATAATGGCCGTTTAATCGATCACGCTGAAAAACCTGCTCTCGTTTTTTCAGTACAAAATATATATAATTGGGTTAAAAGGTGACTCGACTGACCTTTAAGTCGTGTACGAAAGAAGGGAAGCCGCCAATCGCCATTATAGTCAACAAGGAAGCTACAAACATGAGCAGTGAACCTCTTTCCTACATGACCACAAAAAAACACATTATAATAAATAACCCTTTGTATATGCGAAATTTAAGTGATTAAATTATGCATTCTATTGACTTACATGAATGGAATTATAGCTATTTCCTATGTTATAAAAGACACTTCCCAAGCCAGTACACAAGGCAATGTAGATGGCGAGTCGTAACCAATAGTAGCCTAAATCGCGATACATGTTGATAAACGATCGTTTCGTGAGAATGAGGCATTGATCGAATAAGGTAGTCTGACCGTTCTTCTCAGTCGGCCCTCCATCCTACAAAACACGGAAATTTCATCATCTCAAATAAATGATTAAGTATTTAAAGGATGTTTAAGTTGATTTTTAGACTATTACATGTTTGTGTATTTCGGATATTAATGCCTTCATTTGCTTACAAGTACCGAACGAACTATAGGATCTCACGAGCAGATCAATTACTTCCTCGGTGCCCAATCTGTTTCCAGCACCACCACATTCAATGTCCTGAAGTACCAAGAAAACCAATAAAATGATTCAAATAAAATAAAAAAAAAAAAGAAAAAAAAAATTATCCTTAAACATGTAAGCTTAGGTGATTCGTCATATATAATATCAAATGCTACTCACCTCATCAAAATCCGCATTTATAATCCTGAGATAGTGATCGGCCGGGTTTGCAAAGCAGGACACGCTAAACCGCTTGTTGCGAAAAACTAGTACAAAATGAATAATATTAGTAATATAAACATGCTAACCTCCTAATCTTACAGTTGCAATCATTATACACCCACCTCATTGGCCAACGACGTGGGCCCAAAGTACACCATTCTCCCCGAAGAAAGAAGACAGAGTCCATCGAGCAGCCGAAAAACCTCGCTGACCGGCTGATGTATGGAGGACAAAACCGTCAGTTCGTATTCCCTCGCCACTTGCACTATTCTCTTCATGATAAAGTAAGAGGCTGCGCTGTCAAGCCCGCTCGTGGGCTCGTCTAGGAAAAGCAGCCTCGGCCGCTTTAGAAGCTCAATGCAAATGCTTAGTCTTCTCCTTTGCCCGTTGCTGAGTCCTTTTCGGCCAAAATCTCCAATTCTCGTGCCAGTCGAGTCGTGTAATCCCATTTCCCTTATTGCCCTCTCGGCATTTTCCCTTTTTTCGGATTCGGACATTGTTGAGGGTAATTGGAGTTGAGCTGAGAAGTAAACAGCTTCCTTAACAGTTAGTGTCCATGTTAGTGTGTCCTCTTGTGTCACATATGCCTATTATTAAAATTTTTAAGTTAGAGGTTAGCTTAGTTCAGAGAAAATGGGCAAATTTCATTTAAATCCAACTTGAATAACTAACAATGTAACTTTTTCACTTCGGAAAATGTGAAGGTTATTCGAATGGTTCGCATAACTATCACATATCAGTCGCAGAACTATTGTATATTAGTTGCATAATTGTCGCATATTCACATTAGAAAGTGCGAATGCCTTCGCATTTTGAACTTTCGCATAATTATCACAAAATGTTTTCGCACTTTCTGGGGTAAAAAAATAAATTTTTTATCTGGTGTGAAAAACTTGTTCATTTTTTCAGAATGGGGTGAAAAAATATTTCAGAATATTTATTCTCTTGCAAACTGTAAAAACTATTATTGATAAAACATAAAGACTATTAGAGGTACAGGACATCGTTTAAAAAAAAAAACCACTGAATTGAAAATTTTCAGAATAAGATGAGCAAATTTGGACATCATCAAACTCAATAAAATAAGTGGTCTAATTCATTAAAAGGAAAACAAACTGATCACCCTTCCAACATTTGAATTTATATGTGAATTTAAAACCTATATTCTCATAAATTAAAAGTTTGTGGATTAAGAAAATAAAATAAATGGCAAAATTTGGCCTCATGTATGGTCAACAAGCTCTGTCACCCGCGGATTATAAATTCTGTTTGTGAGTTGTCCAACATCGTTCGTACATGGAAAATAGATCCATTTTATAAGTCTAATAGACTACTTCTCCTTTCACCAATTGGTTTTGGGACGGAACCCCACTTGGGTTTCATATGGGTTTTTCCCCATTCATGGTGCGCTTCATGTTAGTGGACCCGCACCCGTTTTCCCCAGTTTCTGTCATCGTATCAGAGTCGGTCTATTGGTATTGGCGTGTACCCGTCACCCAGCCCAGTTGGGCTTGGGCTTTTCGTATCAGAGTCGGTCTATTGGTATTGGCGTGTACCCGTCACCCAGCCCAGTTGGGCTTGGGCTTTCGAAGACCGGTTCTATTGGTGTCCGTGCGATGATGTACCCGTCACCCAGCCCAGTTGGGCTTGGGCTTTCGAAGAACTCACAACCCGTCACCCAGCCCAGTTGGGCTTGGGCTTTCGAAGACCGGTTCTATTGGTGTCCGTGCGATGATGTACCCGTCACCCAGCCCAGTTGGGCTTGGGCTTTCGAAGAACTCACAACCCGTCACCCAGCCCAGTTGGGCTTCACAACCCGTCACCCAGCCCAGTTGGGCTTGGGCTTTCGAAGACCGGTTCTATTGGTGTCCGTGCGATGACGTACCCGTCACCCAGCCCAGTTGGGCTTGGGCTTTCGAAGGACTCACAACCCGTCACCGAGCCCAGTTGAGCTTGGGCTTTCGAAGACCGGTATTGGTGTCCGTGCAATGACGTACCCGTTGACCGCGCGTCGTTACACGGCAAATTTGAATTTATAATTTTTCCTAACTTACCCCTACTAACTAGTAGTAGTGGCGAGCAAGGGTCGATCCCACAGGGAGTGTGGTATAAACCGTGATTTTATTATATTAATTAGATTAAAATAAAAATGGGGGGATCTGGTTTATTACGAAACTACTAGCAAAACAAGAAATAAACTAAAACTAAAAATAAATGACTAAAATGCAAATGATGATGAAACGGAAAATAAATAAAAATAATCTAGCAAAGATGAGAATGAGAATCGGTTCCAGGTTAGTCTACACCCTCGAATAACTAGCCGAATTAATGCATTTATCAAATTTCACTCGTCTTCTAAAATTACCGGTCCTAGATAGCAATAAGCTCTGCTATCTGGATTTTCCCTTAATTTATACTTAATCGAAATAGGCTCTTCAATTAATTCTAACTAGCGAATAACTCGGAATAAGCTCTCCTAATTTAATCCACTAGTCGCATTAAAATCTAGGAAAATAGACCGATCTAAGCCACAAACACGTAAGCTCGGTTCATGTAACTTATGTTGTGCTATCCCTAACAATGCACGACTGTTAGTTGCTACAAACGAAATAAGAGCGACGACAATTACGGATCGAAGCCTCAAATCTAGCAATTAACATGCAATTCCTAACTTAGGTGATCAAGCTAAATTAAAAATCACACATTATGGCATGAAACTAAAATAACACAAACAATTTTATACGACGAGTAAAACAAAATAAATAGCATTAATCAAACGTAGTCATCGAGGGTTCAACGTCCCTAGAACCGAAATAAGTGTTTAGCTATACATAGCTAAATGATAAAAGCAAAAATAATAATCCATAATGTTCAATCAAAGTAAACTAAAGCAAATAAAACTAAATATAACAAACTCCCAATGCCCAAAATTATTCACGGTTGAATTGAGTTGCAGCAGCAATTAAATCCTCAAGCTCTTTTATATATCTCACGCCCAAAGCTTGTTTTTTCACGTCCTGTATGAAGTGCCCATTAATTAATGAGTAATCTCCTGCCTTTAATTAATTTTTCTGCCCCGCAAATCCGGATGAGAATCCCACTCCCAATGAAAGTCTCTTTTAATTCCTCCTCCTTGCCCAATTCAGCCCTCTTCGTCACGCAAGTTTTCCAATATTTTTAAGAGTCCAAGTCCAATCCAAATTCCTCTTCACTTCAACCCAACCAATTCGAGAACCTCTATGCTGCATGTATTTGACCAAGCAAAATTACATATCACATCCTTATCGATTAAACTTGCCACCTCACCATTGTCATGTTATCAATAAGCATAATATCTGCAAAATAAACACAAAATCTGAATATTGGTGTATGTCCGTTCACGAAATAAAATACGTGAGAAAACTTGTATAATATACTAAAATCAAATACTCAAATATATAAATTAAACCACAAAATAGTACAAGATTTCTCACATGTCACCCGTCACCCAGCCCAGGTGTCCGTGCGATGACGTACCCGTCACCTCAGTTGGGCTTGGACTTTCGAAGACCGGTTCTATACCCGTCACCCAGCCCAGGTGTCCATGCGATGACGTACCCGTCACCCCAGTTGGGCTTGGACTTTTGAAGACCGGTTCTATTGGTGTCTGTGCGATGACGTACCCATCACCCAGTCCAGTTGGGCTTGGGCTTTCGAATGACTCACAAGTAAGGAAGCGTGTTAGAATATCACTTGTGTGGAAAATAGATCCACTTTATAAATCTAATTGGCTACTCCTTCTTTCATCAATTGATTTTGAGATGGAACCCAATGTGATTATAAAGCGTTTGATTATTGGTTTACCAAATTATCAGATTGAATACCTACTTTTTTTTTTGTTCCATTCAATATGACTTTGATGAGCTTTTCTAGCGTCAAAACTTCCAGACAAAAATAATTCATTACGAGGTTATCTTCAAATTTGTTTTTACNAGTAGCCTAAAAAACAACACACAATAAAATGCACAAAAACTAAAAACTTCATTAATGGAGACTGTATGCTTCCCAACGAAAGAATACACACTGTCCTACGGAAGATTACATACTCCTAAATAGGAAAATAAAAACATAAATGCATACTTACAATACTAACAAAGACACAACAAACAATAAAACTTAAAATATAGCATAAACTAAAGCTCTTCCCATCGAACGGGAAAACCAGCATCATCACACCTCGAGCCAACACCTAAAGCGATCTACCGAGAGAAACAACGAGATCCACAGCCCATCACAACGGATCAAGAAACTCCTCTAATGGACTAACAAGATTCGAATCATAGACCCGACAGCCTATCCTAGCACTCCGCAGACTCAACCAAGGCCCGCCCACTCCACATCCTCCCTGTGCATATGCAAGAACCGCCACACCACTGCACGAGCGCCACCAGAGGAACCAACCTTCCCAACACTAGGGAATGCCAGAAAAGGGGAAAACCAATGCTAGGTAGCTGCCCTGAACGTCTCAAGGACCTCCATGGCGTCCATCGAACACCTGCCCCAGTGACGATTGCACCGCACCCGACATGGCGAAACTTGAAAATCTAGACCACTCGGGGGGAGAGGATGAAATCCCATCAGCGTCGTGTCGCAAGGGCCTGGGCGAGCCAGATGCTTGCCAAAAATTAGGGTGTTAGGGCCGCCGGAAGAGCGGCTAGGTTACAACAATTTGTGGGATTTTTGTTTATTGGGGGAGGAGACGAGCGAGAGAGAGAATTACTATAAGGCTTCGAGTGATCATGGAATTCGAAAAACCAACAAAATCGACCTTTCCTCTTATATATAAATGTCGAATTTTTTGAAAAAGAAAATATATAATATAGGTTGTAACTTGTAAGTATATAATAGTGTGTAGAGTGTGGATAGACACACCTCACCTCTTTATAATGAGTGTTATCTTGTTGTCCAATACTGGGTGGATGAGCTGCCCGGAAGCCCGAGCTATTCCAACTGCCCAAGTGCCCAAAATGTCAGATTATGTGAGGCCACGTGGTCCTATCCACGTGTGGTTCTTATTTTAATAATATTCCTTCTTATCTCTTAAGTTAGGTGTTCACATAGTCTTATTTATGAGACCATCTAATCGTATTACTAACTCGACGTCCTTTGATCTAGACTGTTTTTCAGGTCGCGTCATCGACCTTTATACCTCCAGGTTGAGCTTCTACCAGGCTAACCGAAGACCCTAGTTCGACATGTGGTTAAGGCTTTTTACCTGTAGAGTCTCCGTTGACCCGATGACTCTTCGAGCTCCTGGAACGTCGATCTCTGATCGACCTACTGATTCTCCCAATTTATTTGGACTGCTTCTCGGGTCGAGTCGACCCGATATGGTATTTCATATTATATTGGAATATTTATTTATAAGTAATGAGATTACTTTCTATTTGATAGAAAATATTTAGTCAAATTAAATTAGATTATACTTAATTAAATTCTTATTGGATTAGACAGGGGCAGAGCCACGCCAAAGGCTGGGGTGGAATCCAACCCGGTCTTAGTTTTCGATTTTGTTAATATTATGCTATTAAAAAAATATTTTATCCCA